AGATCCTTTATTTCGGAGGGAATTTTGCCTACTGATTTCCACTCCATGAATGCGTAAAAAACTGGTGCTTAGGCCAGAGACTCTATAAGACTGACTAAAGCATTGTGAAGTCGTACAGAACGAGCTATAAGGTGGAAACATAAACCATAATGTTTGCTGAAATCTAGATGCCAAAGATTCCTGAAAATAATATTGGGCTGACCATATGAACTAAAAAGAAAAAAAAAAAAACTAAATATAAAATTCTGGTCCATAAATATATGCGATTGTTTGGTTCTTCAAGTGCAACTGGGGAGCACAATTCGAAATGATAATGGACTATAGTTTAGGGAATATGTACTAGAAGAAGAAGATTAATTAACATACGATGGATAGATGGGGCATAAGAAAGGGTTTCAAAATTTTTGTTTCAACTTTGGAGAAACTATCTGGCGAAATGAAACTAAATCAAAAGGTTAATATGTATATATTATAGGTCAACAAAGTAAAAGGTGGAAGAAAAATGCAGAATGAAATTGAAAGTTACTAATTATTAGTCCGTCTTTTATTAAGCGAATCTGATCATGAAGAAAAAACTAACTAAGAAGTCTGAATTTAGGAATTGTTGGAGAATAGTGAGGATCATAAAATGGTTGGGCTGAGCGAGCGTTTATAGACGAATCGCATTTCCCACAAAGCTACTTTCTCATCCAATTAGTCTGATGGAAATGATTAGGAATGTAATGCTTACGTTGTAAGATGTTTATTGTAAGAATCACGCTGATTTAAAATTTTGTACCTGTAGGATGCGAAGCATAAAGAAGATCAGATATGGGTGACAACCTGAAATGAAAGTCATGCTATATTGGCGGACAGACAAAAAATACAGGGAATGAAATCCCCGTCGTCATGTCCAAATTCATGATTATATCATTCAATGATTATGGCAATTTATATCCCAAAAGAAGGTCCGCTGGTAATAAGCTAACCCCGAAACATCCAGAAAAAAATGGCTCTGGAAATAATTGCTGGTAGCACAAGACAGATAATTTTAGGCAGTTGGAATAAAAGTTATGACTGATTAACAAATACCATCTGGAAACATGCCTACTACTGCAGATTAGCACACAGACGTTGAAGACCACCCACAGTGTATGTGAAGGGATTTCTAGTTTCACAGTGGCAATTTCATTTGGTGGTCGATGAGGTGTAGGAGCGTAGAAGTGGGACTCTGCAAGGTTTGTAGGGCAGTGATATAACTTTGTCATATAATTTTGTGAAATAGTCACATATCATTCATATAACTTTGTCATTTAGTAATCTTTCCATTTCCATAATTTCAGCGATTTGCTAAGAAAACATTACATTTCAAAAAGATCAAATGCCATTGGTTGTTGTGTGTGGGAAACCATCTTCTGGAAAGAGTACACTTGCTAAGTACTTGTGTAAATTTACTATGACAAGGAAATCTCGGCGAGTTGAAGTTGTATCCGATAACATAAATGCCTCATTTACAAGGTCGATATACAAGGATTCTCATGAGGTACTTTTTAAAACTTAACACTGCTTTTCCTTCTCCCATAGCTTGACTTCCGTCAATTTTTTGATTTCAACATTGTGGAATGCTTTAGTAATAGATCTTTGATATCGGTCGTTATGGAACAGCAAAAATAAGGTGAGGTGACTTGTCGAGAAGTTTATATGAAGTGTCTGCGTACCTTGTTTTAGGAACGAGAGCATCGTGCAGTGCTGAAATCAGAGGTGCAGCGCTTACTTTCAGAAGATTGTTTGGTTATTTGCGATTCGTTAAATTACATCAAAGGTAGGCTTCATTTGGAAAATACTCGTTGTATCACTTGCTTCATACTTATATGGAAAAATTGATGCAACAACATACTGTATTATATTTCAGCAATTTACAGGTTTCAGATATGAGTTGTTTTGTATAGCGAAATTGATGCGAACAACATACTGTGTTTTGTACTGTGATGCCAATGAGAATATTTGCCAACGGCTTAACCTAGAGAAAGAAAAAATTGAGAGGTAATTTTTATTGCTCATTAATAAACCTTTAATAAATAGGTGGAATATGTAATGCCTAGACCGACCGAAAATACATTGGAAATTAAAGGCTGTATTTGGTATTAAATATAGTTGATAAACTGGTTCGTGGACTGCAGTATGTGCAAACTTCAAATTCAAAATGGATTTCATAGTGAAGCTGAGAGAAGATGTGATAGCAAGTTTTGGGAGATTTCCCTCCTCATGATATCCTCCTAATGTAGGAATTTCTTTTTTTTTTGTGGCAAATTAGGCTGTTTTCATAGTTCTGATTTTTGTTGGTTCTGTCGCTATACACTTCTTGTTGCCAAGAGGCTTTTGATATATTATAAATAAGTTTCTTATAGATATAAAGCAGATGATATAACGGAATTGGCGATGCGTTTTGAAGAGCCTGCTACAACAAATCGGTGGGATTATCCGCTTTTTAAGGTTGAAATTAGAGCTGGTAGTGGAACTCATTGGAGATGTGATTCGAGTTTCGAACAGTGCTTTTGTTTGCTTAGACTGAGTGAAAAGAATTTACCTCTGGATGATATATATCTCTGGTTATTCGAGGTAAGATTAATTCAAGTCTGAACTTTCCAAGCATCCGCAATTACTCTGTTGCTACAATGTCTAGATTATATATCGGATTTTCAGGGTTATCTTTTCGTATTGCGTACTTCTTTTTGAAAAGATACATTTTTTATAGGGTAGAAGTTTGTCCGCTAATGAAAGTACTGAAAATGCGTCGCTTATGCCGGCAGATTTTCTACATGTTCTAGACCACGTAACTAAAGAAGTTGTAACTAGTGTTATGCAGCAACAGCGGACGGCCTTGCCAGGCGATACCTTCATTATACCAAATTGTATTTTGGACGACGACAAGGTTCAGTAATTTTATTGGTAGTGTGGACTCATGAAATATAAAATAAAACTGACTGTACTTGAAAAAAATTATTTCAGTTAATCTTGTTAAAACGTTTGGTTAAAAGGATTTTTTTGCGGAACTTTATGCTAAATTTTAAAAGTACGATTGTAGTAATCTATAACATAAGTGTTGTTCCCTCATTGCAACAGGCGGTTGAAAGTATTCATTCCTAGTAACTTAAAAAATATATTTTGAAGTGTGTATATTTTATATCGTTGTAAAGTTGAGTGTTTAGATATTGTTTACAAGACAGCGATCTTTTGCCGAACTCTCAGGACTGCGTCGACAATTCATCACTTATATGAAGATGCATCCATTGAATGACATGTCCAAATTTGCTTCGTTATTTATTAATTATCTCAATGCAAATCCCTAATTATTGTCTTAGTTTCACTTACTTTCAAAGATTAGAGCCCTTGAGATTTGCTTTACATACATAGGGATAAAGGTAGCGCATTACGCCATTGTGTGGTTGTACTGGGAAAAGCTGCGTAGTATTATCTATCTTACCCAAACGGTGATAACGAAATCTAATTTATTCTTTAGGTTTCAATAATTTTTTAGTTTCTTTGATAGGCATTATTTTTTTGACAATATTTTATTAACAGTAAGATGTTTTTGTTTTCATTGCTGTTAATTTGTACGTTGTGTTATTCATAATTTTTTTACGCTTGATTTTAATGTAAAAATTTGCTATTATATGTTTGCTTGTATGTATAGTTTACTTTGTTTATTGTAGTTTACCAATATTTTGTCGTCAGAAGCTTCAGTTTCTAGCCGAAAAAGTCGGATTTGGAGTATTTTTAGCATGTTTTTACCATCGAATATATTTAATTAATTAATTAGTTCATTATTTTAATCCATTATTATTATTTACTTATTACTTTGTTGTATTGTTATTCATTTTTTTTTTTTTCGCATTGCTGTTATTATTATATCATTATCAGTATTATTAGTTATTAACTAAGTTACTTATGTTGAAAACACCTTGTAGAGTGAAAGGGTGTGGAGGATAGTTTCTTTTGTGTTTTTTAAACCTGTGATATAATACGCTTGTTTTATAGTAAGTGAATAACTTTGTCATATTTACCGAATTATGTGTTTAAAAATTATATTCGATAATGAACTGAACACTAGTAATTTCTTGACAATTTTTATTGGTCAGTTTGCACCACGAAGCGCTCAATATTTCTGCGTAAAGGTAATAGGAGAAAGAGTTAATCTTTTTTGAAATATGTTGCGTTTATCAACAAAGTGATGCACTTTGTAAAGTTTCGTTTTTGTAGGCAGTCAAGAATTTAACTTTCGTAGTTCCTTAAAGTGTTATACGTTTCATTTTTTATTAAAGCGAAGTTTTTATGCTATGATAATTTTCTGTGTGGAGAGGGTATCGATCCAATTATCAAATTCACATAGTTTTAATTTCTTTTGGTCGGAAGTGTTTAAATCCAGTATATGGATTCGGTGTACTATTTTAATTTGTTTAAAACTTAGGTGGTTCGTGATTCAGACCACTTACCGTATTGTGGACGCTCGAGATTAGATTTTGTGAAATCATTAGCATTTGTTGAAGAACTTTGAATGGGAATGTAACTTACAAAAGTGTCGTCATGATTTGAAAGCTTGAATTGTGTAACTCGATTGGACCGGAAATTTCTTATGTCCGTCATGAATCACTTCTAGTGCTGTTCGATTTTTAGCTGAAGAAGCAATAATGGCGTTAAATATTGAAGTATAGATAATTTTCGAGTCTTAAAGATTTTTTCACCACACTTCTTTTCACTTTTCTTTATCGCTTTGTCGTTTAGTTTAACCTTACTCAACTGCTACAAATTAACATCAAGATTAAATGGGCGATGTTAATATGAAGGAGTCATTTGATTCTTCTTAATTCGAAATTGCTGCTTATAAGTCTAGGTTGGAGAGGCCAGGCTTCTAATCTATCAATATTTTGTTTGTTTAGATATCTAACTTATTTTTTTTCTAGGCAGTGGTGGCTATCACATTTCTGGGAATGAATCCGAACTTTCCATAATTCTAGTGAACCATGTCGCATGAAAGAAGCCGTGGAAACTTGTACGTTTTTTCAGGATATTCAAAGATTTCAAACTACTTTCATATTACATACACTGCAAGTTTTCTGTAATTCTATGTCGACCGATTTTATGAATTGTTTTCACTGTCGCTACTATATACAGAGTTGTCGCCTTACTACTTACTCTGGAAGCTGTTGTTTTCTATAGTACAGTAATTTCACATTCATGCTTTTTAACGATGTCTTATAAATTACACGAATTATTTAGGATATGAATTATTTCTTATCACATTTACGCCCGAATTTTGCTAAAAACTTTTTCATATTTACAGATCTCCAGTGTCCTATACTCTAGATACGACATCAAATTCAAGTTCACAGCTTTCTGAAGGAGGCGATCAGAATACGTTCTCTTCTTCTTCAAGCTCACCATCATTAACAGCAGCACTTCGTAATTTCGATATAGGCGGTACTAATTTGAACACAAACAGCAGTGCAGTAAGTTATAAAATGCAGAACAATCTCTAATGGCATGTAGGAGATATGTGCTGGATGTTTGCTTTATTAAAAGATTTCAGCCTTCCTCAGTTTACAATCAACATATGCTTTCAAATGATATGGAAAGTGAGATATGTAGAATATTATTCATTCCTAAAAATCATTAAGGGCAGCGAAGTCTTCAGGAATTGTAATCAAGGTTTTGTTCGCGAATTTATTCTTCAGGCAAGAGATCATACGAGAGATGTTTTCAGTTATCCTCAGGATGATTCATCCACACATATGGAATCTTATATGGAATATTTGTCCTTGCTTAATCATCGCCATGGTCAGTATTGTTTACTTTAACACTGGTTCTACAAGATTTTTAATGGTTTTCATTTACTGATAGTTTATTCTTGGGATCTTTTTATGAGGTCCACAAATACAACGACATTTCTTTATTTCAAAACGTTTGGATGTAAGAAATTAAATCTAATATTATATCAATAAGAGTAATACTTTTAAGCACAAGAACCGGTGAACGAAAGTAGCAGTACAGAAGGTTCTAATGCCGATGTAGTTACTAACGAATCGTTGTTCTTATTGACAAATACTACTAATTCATTATCATTTGGTGTGATATCGTCAATTAATGATGAAAACGGAGACCATAATGATGATGACAACAATCGCTTAAATGAATCAGAAAACAATAATGACGTCACTGATGGCTCATCAACTCAAGTGAATGAATTCAGTGATGTTGTTAGTTAACAGTTGTTTTTCATGTTAACTTAAAGCAAAGTATTTTCCATTTTAACGGTACTTACGAAAAAGGCGAATTAAATATTTTAGGAGTTGGTACTATTCCGGGACTTGTACTCACCATCAGCAAGTGACCGAAGTGCTTATAGCGAGCAAAGGGAAAGTGCACGTCAGTTTTCAGAAATTTTCATTCTCACTGTTTGCTTCTATCATGCCAGCCGTGCAAGTTTGTTTGTTATGTGAAAAAGAAAAAAAAAAAAAAGTAACACATAAAAAGAGACAACGCGTTCACAATATTATATTATTCTATTTACTCCAGTTATATCTAAAATATGGATGATGTATGTTATCTATGCTTGCTTAATGATTTTTTATCAAAGAATTATAAGCAAATTTTCCTAAAAAGAAAAAAATACTTCTGTTTGCTCCTTAGCCATGAAGTTGTAACAGTTGAAGAGGGGAGAATTTAAGCTCGTTGTGGGGCATATCTCAGCTGTTTTATTATTGAGATATGGAATGCAATAAAATGACTGAAAGGTACGATGATGATTACTGTAGAATGGGTATCTGTTTTTTTGTTTTTGTTTTTTTGTTTCCTAAAGATCGAAATTTCATTTTCACGTTCCAGAGAGTGAAGGTTTTGCGAATAGTTTGGGTGAAACAGTACAAGGCGGAAGTTTTCGTCTGTCACATCTTATGCAACGGGATTTGAATAGCAGTAATGTTAGTTTTTTCTGTTTTGTAGAGTGATATGATTTGATATGTGTCATCACTTCCATTTCTTGCGTACTTCTATTGTACCAAGAAGTTTTCTTTGTCCTTCTTTGTATTATATCTCTTCATTGCAGGACTTATGGTTATTTAGACATTTCATTTAGTAGACCGTGCATTTCTGAGATAATCGTTTCGCAGTCATGATGGGCTGTCAATTAGCATTAGTCATCAGTTGAAATTATATGAATGTATTTGTAGGAATCGGATATTATTGAGGGAAATAATGGCAGTTTCCAGAATCCTATTCATCATGATTCATCTTTATCCGCAAGGTTTCGTCCACAGCCATTGAAACTACCCTCATCAACTCGTTTGAAAATGACGGTGCTCAAGTGGAATGTATGTTTATGTAATTTTTTCTTTTTGCTATTACTGTTCGAAATCATTGAAAAATGTCTGAACGTTACTAAAATCAACCATTTCGTCTGTTCTTTCTAATTGGGCTGCTGGTGATTCAGATTATCTGGCCTTAAATAATTCCATATTCGTTCATGTGTTGTTGGATTCTTTGAGGCTGACTCTAATGAGACACATCGCATTCGGTCAGTATTTCAGCCAGTGCACTCCATATCTCGATAGGGATGTTCATTTCGGATTCCGCTAAGGTCTGTGCTCCAATATAAGAATACAGTTTGAGGATAGAGATGCGTACCAGAATTAACATCAGTTTAAAATGAAATCCATTCAACTCTATTAAGTAGAGTCAGGCCGCTAGTTACGCATTAGATGAAATCTAAATTATAAAGAAAAAATTTATTTTCCTTGTTAAATTCTAATGACATTTCTTGCTGAAAACTGAGCTGGTTGACCCTCACTGAAAAATTTACAGGTAATATCGATCTGCAGTTTTCTTTTTATATGTTGTGAAGTGGAGTAGAGAAGGGAGAAAAAGGCATCTAAATCCCGGTATTTTATTACATCAGTTTTTTAGGTAGCTGCATCATGGAAATGGATGGCGGGTGATGAAACTTGTGGGATCTGTCGAATGCCATTTGAGGCATGCTGCATTGAATGCAAAACACCTGGTGATGAGTGTCCTTTGGTATGTTTATTTAGTTTTCTTCCGTTGCAACTAACGAGTGTTGGAATAGCATTTTAATTTTTCACATATAACTCTTGGTGCAATTTTGTCAGGTATTTGAGCAAATGAGCGCTCTCATGTTTCATAGGAGATATTACAGATTTTGGGGAATATTTCTTAATATCTTTCATCATCTGTCCTGCTTAGCTACAGCATGAGGCTCTACTATGCGTTTTGTATTTCAGGCACTAGGGGAATGTAAGCATGCATTTCACATGCACTGCATTGTGAAGTGGACTGAAACTCAAAACGCAGCTCGACCGCAGTGCCCTTTATGTAGGCAGGAATGGAAATATGCACCCGGATAAATTTCTGGTTGTACATTGAGATTATGGCTTTTTGTCGATAGAATTTATATATTTAAAATAATTTTGTTACATATAGATTAAGCAGATTTACAATTAATTTCACCCTTTTTTTTCCAAAATACGAGCTGAATCTATTTTTATGGAACTATTCGAATCTATCTTACTACAAACTGAGCAGTATTTTGTTTTTGTTTCGGAATTGATGTGTTACATTACTTGTCGCATATTTATTTGGGTCTATGTCTGTACAGTGTTACCAGTCATTTTTGCCTTTCTCTGGCCTCATATTACTTCAGCGTATCATCCTTATTGCTCGCGGTGTTTCTCAAACATTTTCGAATTATGTTAGTGAACAAATTATCTTGCATTGGTATTCATATTCATGAATTTTAGCTGACAGAGTTCTTTTTTCTCTGGTGTCTCGAACTTGCCATATAAGCAAAACATTTGGTTCGAAATTCCAGTTTTGTCTGCAAAATTTAACCCATTGCACTTTTGCGAAGTAATTGGTTCGCATCACTTGTAAAAATCCCCAAATTACTGGTTCTTTTCATTCCTTTGTACTTCCGCTTCGTATATTTTGTTTTGGTTGCTCATTACATTGTTGAATGAGGCATAGAGTACAGTAAATATTGAAAGTGAATTACCAAATTTGTCTAGTAGTTACATTTTTTTTTGACTATGATCATATTGGTGAGCTGATTTATATGTATTTCTTGAGTTTTTAGTTTTTTAAACCAGAATTCTTTTTCACTTTCTAGAAGTAGGTATTGATTGATCCAAACTGATAAGCATTTTTCTGTTAAATATGAAAGGGAGAGTTTGGAAGCTTGCAGTGTTTTGTGATATCGGATCATGTTCTACAGTTTCGAATTCGAAAATAAATCATCACTTTCTTATGTTGGCGCTGGACATGTTACTTTCTTTTGCATATTTGCGATTTTTTTCACGAAGTTTACGTTCCGTCTCTTGCTATTGTACTTTTAGAAGAGTTTTTTGATAATCAGAAAATAGGTGGTAAAGAACGCGCATAATTTATCAAGCTGACTGAGTTTCCTTATTTTTACCTCCCTTAAGTTTTTATTGTGAAAAATACCTTCTCTGCAATGTTTCCATCTATCTTTACTGGTATGCAGGACTTGATTTTAAATTTTGATTGTAAATTACAAGTTGCAATCCTTTTTATTTTAGTAATGTCTGAAGTTCCTGATGTCTCAGAGAATCTGAGCGACGAACAAATTGGTGGATGTGCTGTTGTTCCACAAAACGGTGAAATTCGGTTGCTTTCAAAGATGTGTTACACTAGCATTTACCGAAGCTTCTAGCTAGTTTGCGTATTTTCACACTGAACCGAAATTTGTTGGAATGCGGAAGTTGGCCAAAATTTAATTTCAAAATAGTTTTGTTTTTTATTTCAGATGAAACTTTGTACATGGATACTGAAGATAGCCGTTCTACACCGTCATTTTCAATGCACGATTCTGCCAGTGTCAGCGATGTTCCATTCGTTGTCAGTATTTTCGAGTTCTCTAAAAGATAGTTTTGATTTACTTACTACTTTGTGGAATGGTGTAAAATGAAATTTATTTGGTAAAAATATTTGTTTTATGCTACATAGTTTTTGTTACTATTGTTAGGTTATATCTTTCAGTTCAATTTCCTTCTAGTAAAAGAGTAATTAAAGATTGTCTGGAAAAATTTATTACTATAAATACTATAAAAGTGTGATGTAGCCTACTAGTTCTTTGCTCGTTGGTATGAATCCTAATGTTAATTACTACAGTAATTCTTGGATTAAGTTTCTCATCTTGATGCTCTTTTTTCTGAATTTATGGAACTACTGGCTCTGCAGTGGTATCAGCTTTCAATTTCTTATCGTCATAAGTGGAAGAGATGCCAACTTTTATCAATTTCATTTTTTTTTTTTTCCTAATAGAGCCTGAAAAGATTGGAAGATTTAAAGAAGTAATCATTTTCCATTGTATGGTTTCTGTTAGTAGCAATTCTAGTCTTGTATTGTTTAGGAGCCTTCTGCTTTCGTTTCAAAATTGCGATCGTTCGAGCAGCGTGAAATTCAGCCCAACGAACGCGACGTTGATTTCGACTTTTTCTCACATTTATTGATATTTTACATGATTAAGGAAGATTGGCCAAAAGTTTATTTTTTTAACCTTGTTTTTAAAATCTGTAACATTAAGAACTAGTGACATCAGATTCCTAGAAACGGATGGGAGCATGGTTTGGTATAATAGGACATCTGCCATTTTACTAATTTCCACAATATTCTTACGTTAGGCACGCCAGTGCCGTCTCCGTGCTGAAGCAATTGCTGCAAATGACCATTTGAATACACTCATGCATATCTGTCGTCATCTGGAGAACGGTGATACTGGAACTGCTCTTCATTTGATCAAAAATTCGCACTTTGATGATCCGTTCAAGTATATTTTATTAACTTGGTCACATCCTCACTACTACTGTTTGTTGTAGAATTCAGTGGAGCAGAAATTCTTGAGAAACGTTCTACTAAATGAAGAGCTACTGAGGCTATGCTTGAGGAAAATTTGCTTCCTGATTTTTGGAATTGAAATTGCAGGAGAATAAAACAGATAGTTTCTTCGTTACTGCTTGGCCGGTCTTGTTTCTGCTGAATTTCCTCTATTATGTATTGGAATTTTGACATTGTTTTTTCAGAGATCTAATAATGGAAGTACATAAACGAATTACTTTGTCGGTGTTGCGAATGATTGAACATACGTACATTAATATTGAAGCAAATAAATTAGCTGAAATGCTTGATACTGAGTCGAATAACGAATTACAAAAGGTTGTTAATACAGGAGATATGCTTAAATTAATGAGATCATTGATTTATGCAACTCAGAATCTTTAAGATGCTGTTGTAAATTTCTTGGCGGAAAACTTTTCATAAATTACAGTAAAAGTTTCTGAAAGACCAAATGGTTCGATTCATCAAACATATAAACTTAGATAAACTGAATAGAACAGTGGTAGGGTATTGTCATATAAGTTGTCAGCAGCCATGAATGATCGGAGTTGGCATAACTTTAATACTTTGATCAGCCATAATATAGACACACAAGAAATAGCTTCTGATCCACTTCACCATGTTTTTAAAACGAAGGTAATCATTCCATGTTCTACTTTTCAGTTCTGTTTCATGTTACTTAAGGTTGCAGGTTCTGATTCGAGTAGGCTGGCAACTGGAAGATGCTTATGTGATACCGAAAATGACAGCGCAGTTAGAGCATAACATTAAAAAATTGGATGCTTCACCATATGGACCGATCCCTGAAATATCTGCTAAAATAACCTGTGGAGTGATGGGAGACTGTATTGATATTAATAAGCTCATTCAGTATGCTACATTTTTGGAAGTCAACACTTAAGTAATAACGTTGTTTGATAAGTTTTCTTTGCATTGGCTATCTTTTGGCCTATTTTATTTTTCTACATATTCAGAAGCTATTTTGGAATAAAACATTTAGAATTCAAGTCATTTTCTTGGCATAAAAATACATGGAGGAATATTGCGCCATATTTCAGTTTTCATTCGGAAATCACGTATGTGAACTATCATTTCATGTTCCTTGTAAGATAACTGAGTCTACGTATTATTCCATAGGAATTTGTACAGTTCTCTGCGCAACAAGTTTATGGAAATTGAAATACAATAATCGTTCTGCCAATCAAAATGAAAGCAGGAAAGTTCATTATGGAAATAAAATCAAAATTATTGAAATAGCAGAGTCAGCAATGGGAAGTAATCATGCAGGGTTTAAGTGATGTTTGGTGAATGAAACGATAAATTTATTTGGCCAGTCAGTTAAATCTTGGTAACTAATTGAATTTCGAGTCTGAAAGGTTTTTTGCAATCTTTGTGGATAGAAGTGAGACTTGTGTAGTGAAGATACTATGATTCAGTAATTGCCATCATTAAAATGTTGGAGAAGTGATTTCTGTTCACAGCGTTTTCATTTTACATGATTGAAATGCTACGTTGAACGTTTCAAATATATTAACATTTTGATATCAAAGAGCTAAATACGTCATAGAATGAACATATCTGGAATTCCGAAATCGGCAGATGTCGATTTAATAGTAATAGTTTACAGAACGGGAATATAGAACTTTACAGAACAATTAAATGGCATGTACTTCCTACTTTGCTATACGTACATGATATCAAATCCCTGAGGTATCGCTTGAAAATCGATCAAGGTGATATTTAGAAGATCAGGAAGCTATTTCAGATCTTTCACCCTCACGCACTCATTTGAGCTAACAGTCAGTGTCAGTGATTCACTACGGACATTGCTTTTGGGGATCCCTGTCTTTTATTGTTTCCCCGAATCTTCTCGATTCACGGTCAGTGTTTTTAAAATTCGTAACTTTTGGAATTGAAAATATGAAAATGTGAATAAACTTTTACTTTGAGTCTATATTTCTTAGTATTTTTATCTAACAAGAAGCAATACTAACTTCTCCTTCGAAGAAATCCGAAAGTTTCACATATCGATTAAAATTGCTACATAAGATTTCTAATCACGGAGCATTTAAAAAACAATTTTATATCGAATTTTTCGCGAATTATGTTATATACTTGATTTCAAACAAAAAGAGAAGGAAGCTGTAGATGAAATAGTTTTGAAGGTTTTTTTCTTTTTCTGACAGCAAAAGAAATATTTTTTCTTTGTTGCACTTCTTTCTGCAGTCTATGCTTTCTTTATCACATTTACTAGATCAATTCCCTTTATTGCTTCAACATTATATGTGTTTTTCGCTTAAATTTTATTGTAAATTTGTAAATTGAAGCAAAAACGGTATTTTAATTGAGCTTTAAAAATCACCTATTTTAATACTTACAGTAGAGAGAAAAAGTGAACGATTTATTCAATACAGCTTACTAATGAGCAGAATAGCTCTAAAGGCACATTCTCTGATTTGTGTTAAGCACACCTATGTGAACTTACATTCAATTACTTTAAGTTATTGATATATGAAACCTATGACTGACGCCTCAACCATGTACTAGGAAGCAAAAAGGTTACGGACAGGTTGTTGTTACTAATTATTCGGTTTATATTTGTTGTTTAATGTTTGACAAGTTAATTTTGCTCTATAGCAGTGTTTAAGATGGGATGAAGGACCAATTGGTTTGATGATGTCATTCGGTTATATGTTAATTTGGTTATATGTTTATTTAATGGGAGGATGCATGACCTGTACCTTACTCAATCTAATCAGTCAAAGTAATAGTTGCTCTTAAGAGACTTAAATGGTTCACTTAAATATTAAGTTGAGTTGTATGCCATGGTAAGACGATTTGATATTATTAGTGAATGTTTGTTCTTTCTTTGAGACCAACATTGATAAAGGCAAAGGAGAAGAAACCATTGGTATTTTAATGTTTTCATGTCGTATGTATGCTCCATTCAGAAACTACCAAAAATATTCAAATCACTTCAGATGTTAAAGCAGCACGTACCGTAACCACGCTGGCTACTTTTTGTCTTTGAAGAGCAGAAGTTGGGTAGTGCTTGGAATCAATTATTCCTTATCATTTGCCATATTAATATATTAAAATTGATCATTTGCATTGAATAAAACTCAACGAATAACATAAGAATTTGGAATATCGCTCCCAGATATTAAAAGATATCGAATTTCATTTCCTTCACATTCTTGAAATCCTCTTAATCGTTCTAGAAAGTGAGAATAAAAAATCTCATTATATTTCTCATGTTTACTTTCTGGAGCAACATTTAGACGGTGATATATTGTCTAATATGTTGTTCTACAATTGTTCTTTGAAAAGTCGTAGTACGTCAAAAAACGTCCAAACCCAAAATTGGGAATTTACAACAAGTAGAAGAAGTGCATAAACTAGGGTGATAAATTGTATTGTTCTGGAAATAATTATCATTCAAGAGATCAGTAGAAGTTGAGTCCTGCTAGTTTGCAATTAGTGAGCGTCGGCGATGTATGCCACTTTTGAATGAAGATGATTATTATCGAAATACGACAGCAGGGAGAGCGAAAACAATTGAAATGGGATAGATCAAACAAATTCGAAATTTTATTCTATTTGAATAAAATACAGGGATGACTCAATTCAGTAATAGCTGCCTTTCCCAGCGAGGACTTTCAGTTCTTAGGCAAATCGCATGTGTGTGTGTGTGTTTGTGTGAGCGCTTTTGTTTGTTTGCATGTCCAAATATTACTGAGGTGCAAATATCTCCGTTATGAAGCAGTGTTTTGTTCTGTTTATCATAATAAAGTGTCACGGAATATTGCCGAAGATTGATGTATTAATACGTTTTTACAATTCCCAGAATTTCCTGTGCGTATTCCTACGTAACTATTCCTACATATATATAGCTAAGCTATTCAAGATTTACTGCGGATTCAATTTCTTGAATAGTATAATAATTCTTCAAAATGAGCTTACACACACACATCTACTCTACTGAAAGACAATGAATTGACGACTTCGGTAACGGTCATACCACATTCAGCTGATGTCACTTGTTTCGTTATTTTTAAAATGATTTTAGTCTACCTTCATGACTAATCAAGTCTATTTATATGATAAAAAATGAAAGATCTGGAAAGACAAAGAGAAGGTGTTTTTTAAAACCAACAAATTTTTTGATTTGCTTTTACTCAAAAAAGCCGCAGTAAGTGATTGGAAATAACTTTGCATAGTTTCTAAGTAGTTTTTGTGTACCAAAATAACGCCATTGAAACATTAGCCGTTAGAAAAAAACCCAATTCATTCAAAAAGTTGACCGATCCTGCTTTAAAACTATCGACTCAGAGAGAATCGACTTCATTAAAGCCAGAGAATTGGTTGTTCAGTGTTGCACTGCACTAGGTAGATTAATAGATCACAAAAAATCAAGGGGCATTATTTGCGAATGAATACTGAACTTTGTGCTAAATTGATATCATTCCAAGCAGTCGTCTACCTTCATGGCTAATCAGGATTCACTGCATTTTGTAATCAATGAAATTTAAATTTACTTCCTTATCCATTTTACAAACTATTTCACTACAAGTGAAATTAGTTATATGCAAGAAAGTTTGCTCGGTTGAAGGAGGTTCATGATGAACAAGCTTCAATGACTATTGAAGCTATTTGAATTCGAAATAAATTACTTCTAAATTTGAAGAATTTAATGATCCAACAATGGATTTATAATCTGCTTATCAGAAAGCCTGCAATTAGATTGATTTGATATTCACCCGGCATGTTTGTTTGCTGCAGTGTATCAGAAATAAACAATAAGTCTTATCCAATATGCTCAATCATATTTTTCTTTTCTTCCCAGAGAATACGCTTGTAAACAGTAATAAAGCATACTTTATAGTTAGGTTCTTTTTCCAAGTAAGACCTGAAATTCTGTTTTGAGTAGAAATTTGCAAAAGTAAGAATTAGAATAGAGAGCTCTCAAAATCTTGCACAACTTTAGACTTAATATCTATCCCAACCATTATTTCCGGTGATCGGAACGATCGGTGTAATTACTATTTTAATCAATTCATTTCAATTTAGTTTACATTCGTGTTTATCAAATGGCCGATTCTCACACCCAGTACTTAACGAGACATTCAGTAAGGCAATGTCAAAACAGTAGATAGATCAACAGACCAGTGTAATTGTGTGAACGGGTTTTGTGAAGTAGTTCTGCAGGTCCTGTGTAATACCACTATTGGTGTCAGTGCGTGCATACACCGGGAAATATTATATCAATAGCAGTGCATTTTTCCAATCGTTTCGTTGTTTGCTTCCATAGTAAATTTACCAACTCATTTTGTAGGGATATCCATCTATGAACTTTTTCATTTCATTTCTTTGCATAACTTACTCATAATTTACTTAAACTGAGGAATGATATTAGCCTCATTTGTTGAACAATCTTTCTGCGCCCTTCTCCTCATTGTTTCTAATTTTCTTCATTGTGGGTTAAACTACTTCCAGAAAGTGGAACTTCAGTTAAATTAATATACAGTGCTAATCCTATAATTGCACTTCTAAATCTTATCTATTTCGAGATCTCAGAAATTATAGGAAAAACATGTAATTATGCATGGTGTAACAAATTTTAAGATCAAATTATTATTATTAATTAACCGAAGAGAGTTTTACATGACTGAAATGTTACTGATAATAAGCGATTTCATCGAGAATTTTAAGCCATACATTTTTTTAATCAAAAAAGTCACATTTTCAATCAAGAAAGTTTGATCAAGAATAAATTTCACTAAAGTATTTTCTAAATATTTATTGACATAGTGTCACTCCAACAACCACTAAATTCAAGTATATAGAGAGAGAAATGGTTTTGGTCTTTAAAAAAAGGATTAGAAAAATTTTTTTAAATTACCCATTTGTAAAAGTAACTTAAGTGATTCACAAAAGATAGAATGTGTCGTAAAAAATTTAGGATATTTTCATGATCATTTTCATGATTTAGGGTATATTTTCTACTATACACCTTTATCATTTCAATATTGGAATTTCCTTTCTGACTTTGTTTTTTTCAGATGATTTCATTTCTATATATTCTAACTTATTAGAAGCTGTATAAGCAGTTCCAATGCATCCATTCATACGTACTCCTGATTTTATCGTTCATATTACTATTAGACTAAGCTGTTTTCTATGTTGCTAGAAGAATCTTCTGTTTAAGCTCTTCTGTTTACTTAATGCTGTAATTACTAGCAAACTGCATGCCTTCACTTTTCTTTCGTCATTTATTTAGGAAATTTAGCAACGGAAAGGGAATGATACACAATCGGTTATATCCTTTTCTTTTTATCTTAGAATAAGCTTCCCTCAAATATGATTTATCCATTAGTCTGTCAATTTTCAAATGTCATATGCCTTCTGTATGTTGATAGAAATTTCTGAAAAAAAGGTCACATTTTCAATTTTTCATATAAGCAGTTAAAGAACCTAACAAGTCTAGGGAAATTTTCAAAATTTGCAAAATTCAATTCACTCAGGAAAAAGACTTTAAAGAAAATTAACCGGTGATGGCGTTTATTCTACTGTCGTTGCTACTGACTGTCATTGTCATTTTATATTCATCTTTGTTATGGTTAAATATGAAATTTGTATAGGTTACTAGGTGTTCCGCATCAGGAAAAAATTTCTCATTTTAAAACTCGGGAAAGTTCTAGTCACTTCATTATCATCAATCATTGGCCATCTATATCAATATTTTCAAAAATACGTTTAAGTGATATTGGACGGTCACAACTCCTTTGTCATTATTGATACAGCATAACTGAAGCTGAAAGTAGCTGCTTGCCCTTCTATGATGCTTAGATTGTTTTTAACACATTATCCATTTCCAGTAATGGCCAGTCCTGTAATTTAATCTTCCGCACACAGCATGACAATGTTAATTATTTTGATTTTAATCTACTTTTCGATCCTCTTCCAGTCAAATTCGTTGCTCATGTTTCCACAAGGTTAGCTTTTTATTTACTAAGTAATTTTATAAACGCATTTTGGCGATCTGGTCAAGATATCTTCGAAGCTGATGCTCTAAGCTTTGGTTAAGTAAGATTATTTTTAATGGTGATTTAACGGAATTGCATGACAGCTTTTCGAATTTTAAATTTATATGCCCGAAATTTCAGCTGAAACTTTAATGAAAATTTCGTAAAAAATAACTGAAATTTCGTCACTTAGATTCCTAAGAACTTTAGTGGAATTCCCAAGTGATTGTATGCGAGCAATGTGTGAAGCAGATTCAGGATGTGTTCCAAAAGGTTGCGACGAGGATATTCATGGAAGGTATGGATGCGGCTATTTTCGACTCAACATCTATCACTATAAAGTATGGGTGCTTGTCTCAAATGAAAAACTGTCATTTCCTTACTTAAAATATGGTGGTTTCTTTCTTTTAGTTTCATCGCTTTAGATTTAAGCAACACAAATGGGTCCCGCTACGTATTAATGCTAAGTGCCAATTTAATTTTAAAAAAACCAAGAGCATCTCGACACAGCTGCTTTTACATAATTTGTACATATGCATACTTTTCGGTTGCAGATTCATTATGATAAAATTTCTAGTTTTTGCTTCACTTACTTAATGCATCTCTGGGAACACTTGCCCTTTGTCAGAAAAAATCAAAAAAAAAAAAAAAAAAAAAATGCTCTGATCAGAACAACCTTTCCACAAAGAGGAATGTTATTGGAAATTGAAAGGACAGGCTAATAATTCGCATTATAGCAGTGTTATCAGCCGGGTAAAGAAGACGACCAGGACGAAGAGGAGGCATGGCTAACGTGCGCTGAAAATTATGAGTGTTCTCAGGAATGCTTACGGGTAATTCAATCTCCACCAAAGTTATTTAATCCCTTAACAGTTCTTTAAACAAGAATTCTTTAATCTCTGGACTTCTTAATCTTTCTGTTAAAATGATTGAAAGAATAATGGAGGGTAAAGTGCACCGCACTTGCATAGTAAGAAATACTATGAAGTTTCATTTTTTTCGCACATGATTACTAAGTTTTCCAAAAATTTTAGAAATGCCACATCCCTGGTCGGTTACTAGTTCGGTTTTGAACGTCTTCAGTTAAAAATAGGAATTTGGAACAGCTAGTTTTTTTTTTCTTTTTTCCAGCGACTAAGTAATCGCTATAAAGTGAAGTGTTATGGGAAAAGTGATTGCGAAACTCTAGCAAGAATTCATGATGGTGGTGCTAACGGTTGTCGATCCAAAGATACATTGCCCTATTGGAATATTGTGAAACAAAAATGTCCACAATGCTAAGTCTGTGAATTCTCTACAAATATATAATGGTATTTGTATTTTGAAAAAAGTTTTTTGCTTGCATATTGCTTCGATTTCTGATGTCTTTCTTTTTCAGTACTGCTAGAAACAAGCTTTACTAGTAGGCATCGTATCATCATTTCATTTTTAACAGTTTTGTTTATTTCTTCTGAACTTAACATATATTGGCAGGTACTTTTATCCTCAACGTTTCCCAATATTTCAGTGAATCTTGAGTGTGTCGTATAAAATATTTTTTCTATTTCAAAAGGTTTTTTTTTTTTTTGCTTTTCCACTTCTAATCAAATATAACTACAACGAAAGTAGATTACAAAGTTAGAAAGCAATTTAAATCTCAAGAAATAAAAACAACTGATGTTTTGTGATATGAATAATTTCCCTTGACACTCATAAATTTCATCCTGCCAATAAATTGTGGAGTTTAAAATCAGCTCACATGTCTTAACGCAAAAACCTCAACGACGCCCATAAATCCGTTTTCAGTAGTCTATATCAAACATTTTTATGCGATTCATGTGAGAAATTGCTCTTTTTCTAATTTCTAAGACATTAATAGATCAACTTGTAAATGAACTTAAACACGATTTGACCTAGCAGCCAAATTTTAACCAAAACTAAAAAAGTAATGAATACTCGAAATTCATCTATTCGCTTTTGATTTTGGGATACATCCATATTATAACAAACATATTCTCTGTCCCATCACAACTAATTGAAGTCTCTAGGTGTGACAAAAATAGGGTCGAGGGTCAGAAACCAAAACAGATTTTCACGGGATCTGGTACAAGAACATTAGCAACTTTTATGTCTTCAGAGTAAACATACTATAAAAATATTAAAGTAGACATCTTTAACTCAGTATAAAATAGTTATTAGAAAACGAAAAAATCTTCACAAAATCATTTCATAACTTTTCTTCAGGGATAATTTTTTTAAAAAAATAGCCAGAATCATTTCAAAAAAGCTAAATTCAATTCTTCATCCGTAAAAATTAGGATTACAATAGCATTCGGTTATGATTAACGCAAATTATGTAGAAGGAAATATAATATACCAATAATTCATAACATTTAGAATGTGAAGTATGCATTCCTTATAGTTCTCCAACTCTCAACAGAAGATACTGTTTTCCCATTTCAAATGGCAAAGCAGATAAACTCAAAAGGTAACTTATCGATAACATTCCTGAGAGTTTCCATGCTCATAGAAATTCTGAAAGATACTAATGATACAGTGTAAAAGTGAACTATGACGATAAATAGCGATTCAGAACTATGATTCAGAAAGCTACAGGCTAGATTTAAAAGAACAGAAAACATTCAGAAAAAAGCAGTGAAAAGAACCTCCATACAAAATACAATAGTCATCAAGGACTATACGTACTAACCATCAAACAATATTAACTTTTTGATTTGATTTTGAGCGATACGCATACCATAATTTTAGCAAAGAACATGCCATACCTGCTGAGGTTTAAGATGTGCTGTGTCAGATCCAATATACAACTACGTTAATATGTTGTTGAAACATTTGAAAAAAAAAAAAAAAAAATCGACAAAAAAAAGGATGAAAATAATAATACAATGAAAAAACATTAGTGGTGCAGACAATAGCAACAACACTCAAATTCCATCAGCCAAAAGTGTTAATGTCCCAAAAGATCCAAAGCACCATATTTTTTAAAAACTTTCTTTAGATTGTATATATGAATATTTAAGGAATTTGAAAAAGGGGCACAGCAAATTAAAATATAATGCCCCGACCCAGTCATATCAACTGTCTTAACATCTTACCTTAAATACACAATAACATTATAACACAACAGCTGCAGTATCACTACAACAAAGTAGAAAACTTGTTTCATTATTCAAAAAGAAAAAAATCTTATGATTAGAATAAAGTACATCGTACACATAAAAACAATGTCAAAAATTGCCAAAACAAAAAAGAAACAAACTTTAAAATAAAGGATTTAGTTCAGGCAAAACACTGCATACTCGAATGAAGCCAGTACACTGAATAACCATGATATAGAACATTAGTGTCAAACTATTTTAATTAAACTATCAGACTGGAAATTTAGTTGACAAATATTCAAGCATCAAGAACATCGACAATATGTTAAGAATGTGTTAAATTCACGGTAGATAGATACCGTTATTTCTTTCATAGCTGGAAATTTGGATGAAACTTACACTGAGAATTACTCAAGAGCTGATTTTTGAGAAATCGCACCTCATCCAATCTTTTCGTAATCTGTATTTATCACAAAGTTATGGGGATAGAATTGCAAAAATCTTAACATGTAAAGTGATATTTTGCCAGCTGAAAACATAAGTTACATAATAGAAAATGTATTATCAAAAATGCCTTAAAAATTACCTGGAAAGATTCATTGGACAAGGTGCATAAGTTCGCCTTAATTTTGCTTATTTTTGTATTAATATCATTCAAGCTGTCCGTCAGTGAACTTTCTTCTGCCACTAATGCCCACATTTTCCTTAGCTGCAACACATATAAAAAAAGTGTTATGTTACTGCCCAACTATCTTCACTAGGCATTTACATAAAAACGGAGTAAATGTAACAACCTTAGCATTATTGTTTGTCATATGAAAATCACAGCCCTCCTGAACACTACCACTGACACATTTCCTTAAAACCTGGAACACCATCTACTATTTTTATAGTTTAAAGATTTTTAAGAATCTCTACGTTATTAATCAAGACTTCTAAGTCAGCATCGACTACTTTATTGTTACTATTCTTCTCCAAATACCTTGTGAGCTGTTCAGCCAGCTTCGTCAATCTTTTGTTTTGACAGAACATCGTTAGAGTTTCAACCCTTTTTTAACAGTGAAAGTGAATGTTGGAGCACTTTGTGATTTTACCTAGCGATTATATGAGTGCTACAGAACGCTAAAAAATGATTTTGACAGGAAAAGTGATGTGGTTATTAAAAACTTTAAGACTAATTTTATAAAAAAAAATTATTAGTTGCTGAATTCACTGTTGACGGAAACAGAAGAAATAAAAAAAGCCAATAACCTGATTGGTACGAAAGTAGGAGCTTGCGGCTGTCTGAAGTAAAGCTTTTTCTACCAAAGATTCCACTTCTTTTGTTACTTCTATCTCTGTAGCTTCCTTAGTATGACTAATAAGGGACAATCCCTTTACTGCAAACAATAAGTTAATATGCATAAATAATACAATATCAATAATATAAACTCAATCAGTTGCTAAGTTAATTCCGAAACAAGGTTTAATATGAAAATGTTCTTTAACATATGGCATACTCAACCTGCATGAAGCATAAGAAAGCAAATAATCTAGTTGAAACCGAGTTTGAATTACCATACTAGATAGTCCTGCAGCAAAGAGAAAATACAAATGTTTTAAAATCCAAAATTTTAAAAATTACTACTTTCTCCTTATAAGATATATGTAAAAAACAAAGTCTAAGCTAATAAGCACGTAACCTAAATTTGGATAAGTAATTAACAACCTACCATTCATAACTTTACTACTATTCCCGTCGACTGCGGTAAGTGGTACACTTTTAATTAGAGAAGAGAATGGAATTTTTCTAAACCCCTGAAAAACTGAGCTTAACTTACATTTCTGACTTAGCACAGGACCATAATTTACAACAGTTTTCCATTTTTATCATCGATACTATATTATGATGAAAAATTGAAAATGCTTGTAATGAAATGATTCAGTACTTCAGTTTTTATAGTTTTTATATGACAGAATGTTTTAGTTTTCCGCTTTAAAACTAGATATTTCATTTTTTCTTTTTAGAATTCCGCTTGCTAAATTTAATCCCTATATACTGCATAAAAAAATTCTATTAAGTAAATTAATCTAAAGCAATGAACAGATGCGTATAAATGAGCTTGAATTAGCCCATATGAGGTCTCCAAAATCTTCATTCTGAGCTTTCTGCTTATAGATTCGCTGCGTCACATTCGGCAAGATTTTCTACGAATAAGTGCTTGTTTAAACAATGAATACAGATATCTCTATATATATCAGATAAATGAAAATACGGTCACTGAACATGACATCGAAATAAGTTTAAATCACCTGCATGTCAAGCTTTGAAATCCCATGATTCAAAATTCTTCTTGAAGGCATGTTTTTCTCCACCGAAGTCTCACTCTCATTACTTCCACATAAAATTCCGCTTTGTTTGACTTTATTTTTATTGAGATCACTGGAGAAGAGACAAAAAAAGTCTGAAAAGAAATGAATTTGACAATAAAATACGGAGTGTTGAAAAAAAAAAACAACAATAAGCAAGATAAATGAAAATCCAAGGAAATAAAGAGCGAGGCGGGAAAAAGTTCTATAGTATGTCAGAAGAAACAAAAGATTCTTAACAGATTTTTTATTTCATGATCATTTTATTTGCTTGGCAAAAAACGGTTATAAAAGATACGAAATTTGGAAAAAAAACAAGTCAATGAATACAAAGCCTCTTTCCAGAAACTTAACAATAATTTATTAACAAAAGAAGAAACTTCATCAAACTGGTAACCAATTAAATTAAAACTACCTTGATTAAATTCTCCTCTGTTTGTTAAATAGTGAGTTACTGGTGTTTGACTTGCTTCCTTTGCATCTGATTTTCCTTCGTAGTACATATGAGATTTCTGTTTTATTACACAGTACTTTTCCAAACGATCCTTTAGCATTTTCTGACTTCTCTGTTTCAAAAATATGGATCTACTCTTCAGTGCCAATTTTTCCCACCTAAATTATCTCTTTACTCTGTCAATCAAAACAAATGGCCGCATCCAAATGGTGGTTGTGTGGATGAGAATGACTAGTTAATTTTGACCAACTAGTGTGATTTGTAGATCCAATCCCATTTGGTTCTTGAGAAGAATAAAAAACCGCTATTTTCTCATTATAACTAAAACATGCCTCAACTGACATTTTAAAAAGTAATGAACAAAATATATTATTGCATACTCAGAGTTACGGTTTAACGCTGCGGAAAGACGCGATGAACAGATCGCTCCGGGGAAACATTTATTTCTATTTCTAGCGGCTCCTTCGTTTACAACAAGGGATGGTATCGCAGAAATCGTCTTTGCCAACACTACAATTTATACGCAAAAGAAAAAAATAGCCGAATAAACAGAAATAATCACGGATCCGCAGCAGGAAGTTAGGATTCACAGAAATCCTACAAGATAGAACCTCAGCGAATGTGTGACAATAGCAAGCAATTAGTTTGAAGAGATTTATTTTGCAAATTCTATGTCAGCTAAGGAGACGCGTTATTATTCTGCTTATCTCAATCTCGGGTTATTATCCCGTTAATAAATGAACCCCTCAATGGCCTAATGGTGGTTGATGAAATGATAGAACAAGTTCCTAACATCGAACATAGCACATTTAACATACCTGAGCATTATTAGGTCTAGGGTCGAATTAAGCTTCCACCGTCACAAGTTCTGCATAAGATAACGAAATATTGTCAATGATAAATACACAAGAACAGAACAGGACAGAACCAACCGGTCATTGATAAATATATGTGAACAGAATAGAACCAACCTTTTTTTTTCGAATCCACTTTCTCTTCCAACTTGGTAGGTGGTTCTGCATTACCTTCAACTTTCCTTTTTTTGGGATTCCATGAACAAGAGTTACGCAATTCAGACTTTAGAATGCATCCAGATGTATTTAAATGTTTCTCACTGAACGAACTCTGCGCTGAATTACTGCCATTCGATACCAAAGTTGTTTTCGTCGTTTCTAATACAGATTTTCCTAACATTTCCGATGAACTTCTACTTCGAACGATTATTCTGTAACTAAAAACCACTGCAAAAAGTATACCAAAATTTTCGCAGCTATTTAACATTCTGCAATACGTGACACTTTATAAAAATTGTCTGAAAGATAGCAGTGCTTGGAATTTAGTAGTAATGGCATTGCAAAACAACAATTACAAATCAAGTGGTAACCTGACAGGCGGCTTCAAATCTGTGTCACTGTAGTTTCTTTTCATCGAACTTACAATTAACTCGCCCTTCTTTATGTAACGCGCATTAGACACTTTGAACGAAAAACTGACATCCTGTTTATAGCTCCCAGCTTGTTTAAAGTGTTTAAAAAACATGGATAAGTTAAACTATACATACAGCGATTAGTGAAACTGTCAATTGAACCACTGAGAAAAATAATTTACGTTATGAAAGGATTTCAAGAAGTGATTTGGGTGCTAATACAAAATATTACCGCGGTGAAGTGAAGTAAAAATGAATACAATTTTATGAAAAAAAGAAGTTATAAAAGTCCCATGACTTACCTTATCAAAGGAAGGGTGTTCAAAATTGTAAAGCTCACTGATAGATGGCTCAAAACAACGCTTTTCTAAAGTCGTTTGTCGACTTAATAGCTCTGTAGAATCCACTCCACAGTAAGATCTCAGTTTTGGCCCTTCACTGCAAAAAAGTAGCTCCAAATAAGCCAAATTTCTTGACTTGCAAAAACTATGGTTAATTTCGTTAGAAAGAGAAAACCACAAATGATAAGCTTTATACCTAGAAATTGGTGCAACAGTAGATTTTGCAACTGCTGTTGCTGCTGCTTTTTTCGCTAAATCACGATTCCATGCACGTTTCCGTTCCAAAGCACTCATTTGTTTGTGTGCTTGAAAACGAACTGTAACAAGCAGCCAGTAATGCTAAATTAAAAATAAAGTTGTAGCTGCGAAACTACTCATGATACTAATTCAGCAACTACAAATATGCAAATTGGGTGTTTGATATTAGCACATCAACTACAGAAGCTTTTCAATTAACTTTCCTCACCAAACAATAGTTAGACATAACCAAAGAGACTCATTAAAGAAAATTATGTGAGGCATCGATTATAGTCTGTTTTCAAGATTTGTTACGTCTATTTAAATTTGCGAAATGCATGGATTAATCACTTGATTTGTTAAATGTTGGTAAAGCTAATGACTGTAATTTTAACAATCAATTACGCGTGCTAAGTAATAATACAAGTAAAAACTTTGCAGTGAACCTTTTAAAAACCATTCCACAACTTAAAGTTCTTGCCAATACAAGACCCACAACTCAACACTAAGAAATGACCAGATGCATCGGACTTCCCATTCTCGGGCGAGGTGCTTCTCAGCAACCTCCACAAGCTTGTATACCAGAGACACCAAACAACCTTATCACACCTGTTTTTACGGAAAAAGCCCTGCTGAACGCGGCCCCATTATGATCGTGGTTGTTGTCAAGATTATGGAGTGAAGCAGACTTTTGTAGCTTTACCTAATTTGAAAAACTCGGGAAATATTTGAAAGTGATTTTTCTGTCATTATTCATCTATTACTTTCTCTAATTCATTCTAAAAGTATCCTGGTTAAGCAATACTTGTTAGGTCATGTTCACCTTGAAACTTGACAGAGAATGTGCCATAATCGGTGGGAATTGCACCATTTGATATGGTGAAAAAAAAATTGACTTTTTATCATCGAAGGTATCTTTTCGTTCGAAAAGAATCAAGTTTTGAAATTAATGAGGTTTTTTATAAATCGAATAAAATGGACAAAAAAGATGATTTTCGAAGCCCTTTATGCTTTACATTTCAATGTTTTTCAATAAATGAAGAAAAAGATTCACCATCGGTTTTGCAATGATAGTATTAAGGTTTTTGTTGAAAACCTAGTTGCTTACTGCTTCCATATACGTCTAATTATTGAGTCTATACCAGACGGTACAAATTACCCTTTATCTGTTTTGAAAATTGTTGAGCTTTGAACAGTCTACAAACAACTGTCATTTTCGTTGAAAGAAGTTGAAGTAAAGCCTTTGGGAAGCAACATTTTTCTTTGTCTGAAAAGAGCCTTTTTTAAATATTTGTAAATGTGTTTAGTTCATTAAATTTGCATATAATATTGATTTAGTTTTAGCTGAAAAATTAAATTTGATTTCCTATGTTAGTAGAATTAAAAAAACGATCACTTTCAAGAATACAGATTTTAAATATCACGTTAACTTATGTCTACCATTCTCGTGTGCTGTAGGGCTTAAGGAGGTAAATTTTTGTAAAATCAATGTTCAGAACATTAGCAGGTCAGATAACACCATTAAATCCTCTTAACATATCTCTTATTTAATTTCATTTATCTGTCATGCCGTCTAGCGGTTGCTTATATCAATCTATTACTATTTTGATAAAAAGTCATGTATTGATAAGAATAGGTACAGGGTGACACTTGAAATTTGGTTCAATAGGACTTTCAAAAGAAGAAATCGGGTGAAGATGGGACGATACTTACGTGAATGATTATGACGATAGGTGAAGTGCGTTTTTACTTGTTTTAGGGAATGTCCAATGGAATCATTTCTGGTGGCTCCAGTTTTAAATTGTTGATGTAAAATATGCGATGTGCGCATTTTAGGTCTATTACAAAAGTCTTTTAGAATTCTAAAAAACATAAGCAAAAAATACACCTGCTATTTTAACTATGGAATCCCAATTGGATTATTATGTATTACTACCATAGTAAATCTCTTAACTGTGGTGTTTAAGATTGCTACAGATTTGAAAGAGCTATCGCCATTCGATGCGGAGTACGGATCATCGCTCTGATCAAGCGACCCCTGTCACGCGCTCAAAGGAAACATTTCCTGAAATTTCTCTTTGATATTGATAGATAATTTGAAACACCAACAAGTGTAATCAAATTTTGATCAACAGCAATCGTGCTCGAATCATCATCTATAGTGCTTTCTATGTTCAATGAACGTTTTACGATTTTGTATAGTTTACATTTTTTCTCCAATGATGAAAAAGTATCAGAAATATATGTAAACTTTTAATCTTCATTTATTTGGTTTCTAATTCTGTTGATTGAAATTTTCTTATAGGAGTTTCTCTTTTATATATTTTCGAGACTCCATTTTATTCAAGAAAGCAAAGAATTTTAGCTTTTAAAAGTAACAGCTTAATTTCAATTCGAGAAAATAATAATTGATGGTTTTTCTTAATTTTAATGCATTCAGTTATTCTTATATTTTACTATGTGGTTTCTTGACAGTCTTCTGTAGTGCCTGCCACTGTGGTTCTTTTTGATCGTAGAATCAATCTCTAGCTTTGTATAAACATGATAGCGCTGCTCCAGAAGAGTGTGTAAAACATATTACTCGTAATTCGGTGATATCTGTTTTGAGCTTTTACAGAAACAGTGTAGAAGCCAGAAAGAGGAAAGGAGAGGAAAAGAGACGGAAATTAACGGTAATGAGAAATGTGCTGAATACATTTTCAGCTCCAGCAGAAGTCCATTACATTTGTTCCTATGACTTTAATATAGCACTGAATACACCGCCAGTATGCTAAAAGTAATGATTGTTGTTGAATTTTGACACAAGGTAAAAAAGCTTTTATTATTATCCACGCTTAGACGTAAAAGCAACCTTGACTACGAATAATGCTTATTGAAACTTATATGATAATGGTAGATGCAAAGAGGAAGTGATAGTAAAAATGCAACATTGCTTAGGATTCATGTGTTTGCTTTCTTTATGTCTTCATTTTCAATACTCTTCATATTCCATCTCATAATTTTACATATTTCTCGCCATTTTCCTACTATTTGTCATGAAAACAAAGCCTTAATAAATGATTACGTTTTCAGTATTTCTTTTCTTTATAATTCGTATTAATGTGACACGAAGAGTACCATCCAAGAATGAAATGTTATGAGAATCTTATTACTTGAAAAATGAAGAAACAAACCATATCAACAGAACAGGATCCAAAGTCTTCTTGAAAATCCATTTCAGGAAAACAGTTTTAAGTTTCTATGCATAGCAGTTAAGTTGGTCGGAATGATGGATTCTGATTAACTAGATTGACAAATCGATTCCGAAAAGTTGAAAAAAAAAAAAAAAACTGAAGTGGGGAACCGATTTAAAATTGATTACGTTTCTGAAGTAAAAGAAAAAAGTCCAATTAAGACCTTTCAGGCAAAAATACCTATGAAGTACAGGAACCTATAGATGTCATCGAAACTGTAAATCAAGAAAAGTAGCCGTAGTTAAAAATTTTTTCTAATGAGAACAGTAGGCTCAAAATGTATTGAATAATGGAGAAAGTAAATGATACATAATTCTGACGATGTGCACCGAAATCAGTAAGTTCGACTTGCATACAACGAGAAAAAAAGTTAGTTTGAAATCTTATCACACACTTAGACTTTTTAGGATAATAAGTATATTCGTTTTAAGCGGTGTTGGTTTTAGTTTATGGAGATTTAAGTGTAAATTTGTATAACTAATTTTTGATTAGTAGGGTTTGAACGTTCTTTTTTATGTGTGGTATGATAATTTTTTAAGTCTGTGAAATTCATATTTATAGGTTTTATCATTTAGAAAAAATTTGACTTTTAGTCAGACAGTTTATTCTTTGTTTTTTTCTTGTCTTTTATTTTTGTATTTTTTTGTTTAAATGTTATTGAATTTTTATTTTATTGGGTATTGGATTTTTATTTTTTTTTTCACTTGTTTATGTTTTCTTTTTTTGATTCCATCTTATTTCTTTGTTTTTTGTTTTGGACTAATAGAGTTGTTGGTTTCATTATTATTACATAAGCTGTAGTATGGTAGAGAAAACTTGTCTGTGTGTTTTAAAAGTTTTAGTTTATTATAGAATCAAGAACCGTAAATTCCTTGAATTTTACTTTGTTTTTTTGTTTTTTTTTTTTATTTTATTGGAATTTTTATCATAATTTTTATTTTACAAGCTATTGCTTTTTTAGCTTTGCTAAGAGGTTGTTTTTTAAGAGAGTCGCAGTGTCATATTGGCCCCAATAAGATTATTTGTTCCGGCTTTTCTGATGGTGTAAAATTAAAAAAAGAACGACTTTTTCACTTTCTTCTTGGTTATCTTTTTTATTTTGTTTTAATAGTTTTTTTTTTTTTGATTTATTTTGATTTTTATATCCTTCGATTATCTTGATTTTGATTATTTTTTTTTGTTTTTTATAGGTGTTACTGTTTATTTATTATATGGTCTGGAATTTTTAGTGGTGGTAAGTATTCTTTTATTAGTAAAATACACGAACTTGTGCTCAGAATTATTCTTATGAGATTGCTTTTTCGGTGTATTATTTTTTTCACTTAATAAAAGTGTGTTTATCTTTTAGTCTTTGTTTTTTACCTTTTTTTTTGTTTAGTTTTGATTGATTTACATCGTGCCCCTTTCGATTTGTCTGAATGTGAGAGAGAGCTAGTTAGAGGTTTTAATGTTGAATATTCTAGTGTTGGTTTTGCCTCATTATTTTTGGGCGAATATGGCAATTTGTTATATTTTAGTTGTTTAACTTCTAGTTTGTTTTTTGGTATAAGATTTTTTTTTTTTTACGTTGTTGTTTGTTTGATTATTTTTTGTCGTAGTGCTTACCCTCGTTTTCGTTTTGAATATATTGACGTATATATTGTCGCGAAGCTGAAATAAATTTCTCGAACCTCGAAATAACTTACAAAAGATATTAAATAAAATTGAATTAACTCATAATACTAAAATTTTTCCTAATTGAACATTCTTTAAAGAAATATAAAACTGTTCCAAATTGCATCTCATCTAAGCAATCATTATTCCAAACTCTCCTCATTGTAGCTAAGCTTCTTCTGTTTGTCTAGGAATTTTCAACAGTTAGCAAAGGGCATGTGTATTGCTTGATATGTTAAAAATTACTCCTTTGTTCCAAGCCAAATTTGCTTGTAATGTTGAGATATTGTAAAAGTTTTCTAATCTAATAATCATTCTTATGAGCAACTGACAATACTAAAACCCATCTCTTACTATATAAAGAGTAAAAATCATTCGATAGCTCTTTATTCAGTGTAATCATGTATCTTTTACAAATCAATGCCTACTATACAAAGATTGAAGTCCTTTGTCTTATTGAATTTTTTGTACCAGCAAGTTATGGTTCGGCTACTCTTCCTCACTCATAGTTCATTTAATTTTTCTATGTTCCTCATCGACTTATTCATCTCCTTCATCTTATTCGTTGAACTCTAAGAAATTATCAGTGCACTGTTGCTATAGATTAATATCTATACATTGTGGTTGTTAACAAATAAAGTCGTTACAACAGACCTATCATTCAACGCATTCGTCTGTACCAACTACAATAACAAACAAGGAAGGCAAAACTTCAATTCAACTCTAAGCTACAAGTTATATTTAGACTGAACCCCAAACTTCACGGCATATTTTTTGGTTTTTCTTTCATTGCTTTTATGGTATGCTTATTTAGTTTCATTTTTAAATAATATTTTTATATATTTTTTAACGCAATTTTGTTTTTGTATATAGATTTTTTAGACAATTTTGTTATCATCTATTATTTGATTTTGGTTAGTGTTTCATTTGTTCATATAGAGTTGTCAAGGTTAGATTGTTTAAAAGTACTGAATTACTTTTTTGGGTTTTTGGTTAGTGGTTTTAGTCACCAGGGTATTCAGTTTAGATTTTTATTTAAAGTGTATTGGCTTTTTTTTTCCTTCTGTTTTTGGATACGTGGTTTGGTTTTTCTCTTGTTTAGTCCTTCAGCTATGTTCATATTTTTACTTTTTATTACTGTCTTGAATTTCGGAATTTTCGTTATATATTTTTTTTCGTTATGTTTTTTCTCATTGGTTAAGATTTTTGATGAGTGGTGTGGCTTTAACTTTGCGTATTAGTATTATTTTTTTGATTGATCATATCTTAATATTTATTGTTCAGACTTTTTTTATCGTTTATTATTTCCGTTGAACCGTTTTTCGCCTTTCAGAGTTATATTTCTTTCACTTCACTTTGTGGTTTTTTTTAGATATAATTTATTTTATTACAATAGTTAAAATTTTAGAATTTTATTTTGATGAGACAATAGTTCACTGTATTTTTTCTGGCTTTTTAGTATTTTTTAGGTATTTTTGTTTTCGAAACAAAGGAATTTTGAGCTAATCATTTATTTAGAAAATTACGTATTTTTTATTTCTTGCAATTCTTATGTATTTTGTTATTTTATTCATAATTATTATTCTTACCTTATTGTATTTTTGGTAAGGTTAGGTGTATATTTTTTGGGTAATTTTTTTAAGTTAAATTTAGAACGTGGGAATAGTTGAATAATTGCGTTAATTTTACAGATATTAGTTGTTAATTTTTTAGTTGTTATATCTGGTCTTGTTTTTTAATTAATTCATTGTCAGAGACGGATATTTCGTGAATCGGAGCTAACTTTAAAAGTTATTGGGCATCAATGATATTGAAATTATAAGCATGGAAATAATGGTGATTAAGTTTTGATTTTATCAATGATATTGAAATTATAAGCATGGAAATAATGGTGATTAAGTTTTGATTTTATCAATGATATTGAAATTATAAGCATGGAAATAATGGTGATTAAGTTTTGATTTTATCAATGATATTGAAATTATAAGCATGGAAATAATGGTGATTAAGTTTTGATTTTTTTATAAAACCTACAGATAATTATAGATGGTTCAAGTACAGGAGATTTTTGATTATTTGCTATTGATAATCGCTGTGTTTTTCTTTACCTATAGCAGTAAATGTTGGTGTTTATTCTACATCAACTGATTAACTCATTCTTTTGCTGTACCTAAGTGTTTTGTTAAGATGGATGCCTTGAATGGTTTAT